TTTTACATTCGTATATCTCATCTGTTTTGTGTGGCCCTCTATTTCCAATTAAATTTATTGCTCACAGTGAGGGCGAAATTTTGCATCCAGACAACATACTTGGTTTAGGGCCTCTATTCCTTCTTTCATAGCGGATCTATTGTGTCCTACTGCTGCGTAGAGAGATAAGAGTCCATGGTAGACAACGGCTTCAACGTTTGCTTGATTTTCTGTGTAAGACCCATCATTAAAGACTTGAGGCCATTTATCTGCAGGATATTTTACATTGGTTGTCTCAAGGGCCAGTGAGCGCATTTGTTCGTAGGGGTGTTTGATTTCCTGAAGTAGTCAAGCAGTTGGGTGCAACAACTACATCAGTGTCTGCTAATGGGTTCTTGAGTAGAGGGAGGATTTTTGGTTTGTCATCGATTTGTAATTCTTTCTTTAGTTCAATAGCTTTCTTTATTAGACTAGATTGCGTTTTCATATGTCTTGGTCGATTATCCTAGGTACTGAAGAATTTATCCATGGAGATGTGCAGTAGCTTCTAATACAGGATCAATGCCTTTTCTTTGAGAAGGGAGCGTATATTGTGGTGCTTCCTGTAACCAGGAGCATTGCATCAATGGTGTTGATTTTATCCCTCCAGTTATTAGTCGTAATGCTTGGTTGTGTGCCTTCTCGAGTAGCTTGAGAGTCACCTCTGTGGCTGTCGAGGGGTTTGAGAGTCACCTCTGTGGCTGTTATGAGTGGTCTCCAAACATACAGCATTATTGGCTGAATAAACATCTTGTAAGTGGTGTTGAGACTTGAGCGCGCACAGCCCCATACGCTACCAGCAAGACGCTTTATCGCGCACAGCCCCATACGCTACCAGCAAGACGCTTCAATAAATTCAGTCTATTGCGCTTTTCCTTGTTAGCTTAATGTCAAGCGTCATTCCGAGATAAGTAAACTCATTGGTTTTTTCTACGGTAGTATCCTTGTGCCTTAGAAGCGGGTTTATGATTTGACGGGCCAAAGAAAATATTTGGAATGCAGTTTTTCGGTGTTGATGACCATTCCATTGTTGTCGCACCAGTTTGCTAGTGGCTTAAGTGCACAATTTAGGACAATTTCTGTCCTCTCCTGAGTGTTTTTCCTAGGAGCAGAATACCATAGAACAAGATCATCTGCATAAAATAAGCACTTGATGAATCATCTGCATAAAATAAGCACTTGATGCCCGTGACTGTCCATTAATGAAGACATTGAAAAGAGTGCAGCTTGTGACAGCTCCCTGTCAACATTGAAAAGAGTGCAGGTTGTGACAGCTCCCTGTGGAAAAAAGAGTGCAGCTTGTGACAGCTCCCTGTGGAAGGCCTGTATGCAGCTTGTGACAGCTCCCTGTGGAAGGCCTGTTTGTAAGGCTGGGACAGCTCCCTGTGGAAGGCCTGTTTGTAAAAGATTGGATCTCGCTGTGGAAGGCCTGTTTGTAAAAGATTGGATTTTGATCGAGCATTTCCACATCTGACTTTACATGATCATTGTCCAATGAATGCTTTTATCTAGTTAAGTATGTTATGCTTAATATCAAACTTCGCCAATTTTTGAATTTAATTCTCTTTCCGTACCAAGTCATATGCTGATTTGAAATCGAAGAATACAGCCGTAAGGGTATTTCTTGCATCAAGGGCACCTTTGATGTGTTGGGAGAAAGTGGCTACTTGTTGGTTAGTTAATCTTTGTGGCCTAAAACCTGCTTGTTCATTGCTACGAATATTGTTGGTCTCAAGGAACCAAGTCAGGCTCCTGTTAAACATTCTTTCTATAAGTTTAGCCAGCACACTTGTGAGGGAGATAGGCCTATAGTAGTCAAAGTTGCTAGGATCTTTGCCCTTTTTTAGTACTAGTATTACTATGGCAACTTTCCATTGGTTAGGTACAAGACGGGTCTCCCAGATTTTGTTGAAAAGCGTTAGCATGGTTTCTTTGGCTTTTGGCCCCATTGTAATTAGAAATTCCGGATGAATACCGTCTTCACCAGGAGGCTCTTTGCACTATATCTGTTTCATCGAAGCATTAAGTTCGCTAGGTCTGAATGGTTCAGTAAGTACATTATTTGGTGTTGTGTCTTCCTTAATTTCACCAAACTTTCTAACTTGTATCTTTAAATCTCTTGAAGATTTTTTGACAAAATAGTTTTCTCTTGCTTCTGGGAATAGAAACTTGCAAAGTAGTTTGCTATTTCGGAGTCGGTTGTAAGCAATTTGTTATTGAAGCGCTTTGGTACTTTCTTGGTCTTTCCGTGTTGTTTTGGATGTTTGTATTCTTATAGCCCCATCTGGTGGAAGGGGCGTTGTGTGAGATGTTCAGAAAATCAAAGTTGGGACCATTCTGGGGTGGATTATAGATTGTATATATTTTGAAGTGGTTTTGACATTTCCAAACATTTAATCTGATTATTTCACATATGTCTTGTGGCGATCCCATACTCTTGATTAGATCATAATGTGATGTGAGGCCTTCTTTTACTCTAGTCACAATTCCACTTGCAATTTGCCGGCATTTAGGTAGAAGGTACAGGATGTAACCTGGAAATTGGTAGTTCTTCAGTTTGCCTTCCAAAAGGTTTGCTTCCACGATTTTGAAAATGTTTACATCATAGGTTTTTAGGGTTATATGGACTTGGATCATTTTTGCCTGTGACATCCCTCCAGCATTCCACTGAACGATCTGTAGACGTTGTGATTCTCCCTGACGAGTACGATTTATCTTACAGCTTTGTTTCAAGCTAATCCTAATGAATAGAAGTCAAAATGTCGAGTGATAGACTTTTTCGACGTATGAAGTTATGTTGTCCAGGGTGCACCACGTGGAGGTAAGTCTATCGCGCACTCCAAATGAGTATGCCTAATGAATAAGAGCTTGATTTTCTTTCGATCACCGCATTGCAAAAATTATAGCTCCCACCAC